CTGTTCTGAAGTTAAAATTATCTTCAGGAAGCGTTCAGCAAATGCTCTGTTATTGAGTGCCTGCATACAACAGAGAATAGGAGAGATGTGGCCGTTGCTTCTCAGAAAGTGTATAGTCATTGTAAACGAACACAAGAGGACTAAATAAACAAACTTACTTTCTTTTTTCTTTTGTTTTTGAGACTGAGTCTTGCTTTGTCACCAGGCTGGAGTGCACTGGCGTGATCTCAGCTCACTGCAACCTCCGACTCCCTGGTTTAAGCAATTCTCCTGCCTACATCTCCCAAGTAGCTCGGATTACAGGCACGTGCCACCACGCTCAGCTAATCTTTTTGTATTTTTAGTAGAGATGGGGTTTCACCATGTTGGTCTGGTTGGTCTCGAACTCCTAACCTCGGGTGATCTGCCTGCCTCGGCCCGCCTCGGCCTCCCAAAGTGCTGGGATTACAGAGCCACCATGTCTGGCCGAGCTTACTTTGCAATAAGAATTTACTTTGAAAAGTAACCTTTAAAGTATCACCTTCCTTAAACAAACACTATAAATGCAGCATGTGAAGTGAAGGCAGCTGTAGTTATTTCTCAGCCTCCCTTACAGGTAAGGGAGGCTAAGGAGAAGCAAGCCGAAGTCACTTGGTCTTCTGGGGGAGTTTTCAAGTGACATTCACTCAGGTGGCAGGTCCTCCTTTGTTCTTCCCATTCCCTGCTTCTTACTTCCTGTTACTGGCTATTACACCTGGTGCTGCAGTGACCCTATTGTACCACAAGGCAGCCGTGAGGGAGGCAGAGCTGAAGGCTAATGGGAACCTGGGAAATTGATATCATGACATCACCAAACTGGCCTGGGTCTGTCTCCCTGCAAACTTTTTTTTTTGAAACAGGGTCTCATTCTGTCACCCAGGCTGGAGCGCAGTTATGTGATCATGACTCACTGCTGCCTTGACCTCCCAGGCTCAAACGATCCTCCTACTGCAGCCTCTCAGGTAGCTGGGACTACAGGCACATGCCACCATGCCTGGATAATTTTTGTATTTTTTTTTGTAGCAACAGAGTTTCACCATGTTTCCCAGGCTGGGCTTGAACTTCTGGGCTCAAGCAATCCTCCCACTTCCGCCTCCTGAAGTGTTGGGATTATAGACATCAGCAACCATGCCCAGCCTTCCTTTCCAAACTTTTAAGTAAGAGAAACTATACCTCTAACTTGTTCAACAGTGTTATTTCCAGGCTCTATTATTTGTGATCAATCATAACTCCTCTTTTATATAGATTTCAAAAATAGATAAAAAGATGTACCTCTCTGGAGAGGGAAAGTCATGTAAGGTAGAATTTAAAAACCCTATATGTTCCCCAAAACCATGTATTCTTATGAACTTAGAAATGTCCTAAGATATGAAAAAATTTACATAGGACAATATCTTCTTGAGAGCTTTCTGGACATCCTCAACTCCAAATGATCACCATTTCTATTTTGGAATGACTAAACCTTGATTTTCATCTCTAAAATTTGTTTCAACTTCAAGATTGTAAGCCCCATGTTTCCTCTCTGTTTCTAGGGCATCCTGTTTTTCTGCCTCTTCCATATCCTAGAGGCTGCTGCATCTGAGCCGGTCCTCATTAGAAGCTCTCCTCTCCCCAGCAGGTTTCTCTTGGTCTCTCTTGCTTTTGTCCCCAGCCCTGATCTCATAATGATGCATTTTACAGATTCTGCCACCTCTCCAGCAGAATTGCTTCTCCCCTTTAACTCTAGGGTCCTAACCATGTATTTTGAAGTGCTTGAGCAGAATCATAGATCACTTTAAAGGAAAATAGTAGCCTTTCAACCTGGAGGGGAGGTGGCCCTTTGGATAAGAATGTCATTTGGCCTCTGACATTTTGGAAACATCGTTGTCATCATAATATCTTTCTCATCACAACCTTTCTCTCCATCACGGCCTTCCTCCCACCATCCTCATCAGCAGTGTCATCACCACTGTCCTCATCTCTATACTTTAGAGAATACTGGGCGACAGATACTATCTAGGTGCTTTTAGTGAATAGCTCATTCACAATGACCTAATGAGGCAGGCTCTGTGATCAGCCCATTAACAGGTGAAGAGACTGGGATGTAGAGCAGTTAACATGCTCACACCACATGGCGGTCAGTGGGATGTGAACCCAGTCTGGCTCCAGCGCCCCCTCCTTACTTCTCAATCACACTACCTACAGCAGTGTTGCTATCCAAAGTGTAGGAATCCCTTTCAACGGCAAAGAACATCAGCCTTTCAGGAACATGACAGAAAGTTTAACCACGAATTTAATTTATCAAACATTGGGCAAAGACTCCTTTGGGACATTTAATATCCAAATGAGAGTCTAGTGTACTTGTTATCACTTCTTTTCATCTGATTATTTATCTCTCTTTATGAATTTAGGTATCAGCTCTGCCATTTGGGAACCGCAAGCTCATTGTCTAATGTCCATTGGAAGAAAATTTTTGTGTTTCTGCCAGTATTCACAGGCGGATACATTTTCCTTATGCTACTCAGTGTCTCTTTTTTTCAAAATTTATTTTTTAAGATTGACAGATAACATTGTATGCTTTTAGTATTTACAATATGATATTTTGAAATTAATATGATATTGTGGAATGGTGGCTAACCTTTAAAGTCCATGTTAAATTATTCCTTGGATTCAGTGACATTACAAACAACAGTCTCTCATTCACAGTGTTTAGTCCATAACTGAGCACACATTTCTTTTCTTCCTAAGTCACAGGAACCAAATTCAGAGTGGCACTGAAGTAACTAATTAATCTCACACAGTTGGTAACACAGATTCATCTTCATATTTTGGGTTGGGGTTATCCTATTTTTGTTCTCATTGTTATGTTTATATTGAATATTACAAGGTGCTTTGTGTTTTTATTTTGAAATAGGTTGAAAAGAAATTCTAAAGATAAACAAAAATCCCCCAATGAACAGTCCATGAAACACCAGCTCAATAAGCCATATGAGGTGGCCTAGAAAAAAAACTTTCCAGGCCAAAGAAGAATGAGAAACCCATAGACCATACCTAACCCTGTTAGAGAAACACAAAGCATTTTAAAGCTAATCAGAAATCCTGCAGTTAAATAAATCATTTAAAAGTAATCAATTCAGTGTTTCCCACATCTATTTGACCCTGAAGTATATTTTTTTCATTCCTATCCCCACGCCGGTGGTGTAATTTGTGGGACTAATTTCTTGGAAGTGAATTAGAATTGTTTGGAACTAATTAGAACTGGTGTTCTTGAAATACCGGTTTGGAACCATGGCAAGACTGAGCAGTCTGTATTAGCAGCTAGAGGAACCCTGCCATGGGAAGTCAGAGAATGGAGCAGATCTAGTTCTGTGGACTTTGCTGTTTTGAGGTTGGAAGCCTGAGTGCCCAAGACACCAGAGGGAGAAAGGGGGACATCTACCTCCTGAGTGAGCCATGCAGGGCTGCTGAGGTGAAGAGTCTGGTATGGCTTGGTTCTGTGTCCCCACACAAATCTCATGTTGAATTGCAATTCCCAGTGTTATTGTTGGGGCTTGGTGGGAGGTGACTGGATCATGGGAGTGGTTTCTAATGGTTTAGCACCACCCTCCTCATGCTGTCTCATGATGAAATTCTCATGGATCTGGTTGTTAAAAGTGTGTGGCACCTTCCCCTTTGCTCTCTCTCTCCTACTCCTCCATGTGAAGATGTGCTGGCTTCCTCTTTTGCCTTCTGCCATGATCGAATGTTTCCTGAGGCCTCCCCAGCCGTGCTCCCTCTACAGCCTGCAGAATCATGAGCCAATTAAACCTCTTTTCTTTGTAAATTACCCAGTCTCAGGTAGTGCTTCACAGCAGTGTGAGAATGAACTAATATAGAGGCCACTGGGGAACTCGGAGGTTGAAAGGATCTACCTGTCTCAAGCCACCCCAGGTAGCCTTGAGATTCCTCCAGAGAGGGTTGGGGCAATTGCAGGTCCCTATATAGTTTTTTTTTTCTCCGAACACCATGGAGGTTGGAAGCATTGATGGCAGATGAGGAAAGCACAGCACCACAGTTAGGAGTACAGTTTTGAATCACAGGAACTTGGTTCACTTCCTGTTTCTGCCACTTTTTCTGTCCATGACCTTGGAGCTTGTTCTCTAGATTCTCTGAGAATCACAGTAAGCTCATTTGTAAAATGGCAAAGCCAGGCTCACACAGTCAAATGAGGTAACACATCTCAGATGGAGACACCATGGTGGATACAGGAAAGACTCTGCAAAAGTCAGGGGCCATCGTACCTATTCCATATTCTTCACTTGGTCAGTAAGAAGGGCATCAAATCCATGCTCTGGCCCTGGCCCCTAAAAAAGCCATGATCTTACCACATTTCCATCAGATGCATAGTGCAAACAGTTTCCTGGTTTGGGTACAAATTTAGTAACTGAATGTGATCTTGTGCCCTTCCCTGAACATCGCTCCCTTGGAATAAATGGAAACAACAACCATGATCCATAATCATAAAAGCACGGGGACTGAGAATAAATAATGGCTCTCCTAGACCAGCTAACTGTTGTTATTTATAAGCTCCTGGGCCACATTGTTATTGACTAGGAAATCTGCTTTACCTCCTTGCTGCTGTTCCGTCTGGCCTCTCAATCTGCACTTGCTGGAAAAAAATAGTTATTGTTATGCTAAAATCACAATGGGACTCTCATAACTCACTGCTAAATAACACCAATAAAACTATGAAAATGGCACTTGGGCATTAAAAGTTATTTTCTTATGGACTTTAACAAGATTCAGTGCTTTTGTTCTCACTGTGCTCTGGTATTTTAGCCTCACACACATACACAAAATAAAAATGTGAGAAAGAATTCCAGCAAAACACCATGGCCTCTCCCACAAAGGAGTATTTTGATTTTGAAAGCGGAGCCAGCGGGAGCTGTGGTACATGAATTAACATCAATCAGTAATCATAGCTGTGACCACAATGGTGGTTGGTGTTTGGCACAGGGGTTTACCTCTTTCTTGGTGAATTTTGGTGAGTGATCATTTTTGTCATCGATCATGATCGTGGCTGTGGCCGTGCCTGTTAATCCAACATCCAGTCCAGCCATATCTTGAGCCTCGATGATCAGTTCATACTTGGGATTTTCCAGAGTCTACAAAGCACAAGCACAAAGAAAGAATATGACATTTAGATTTGGGTTACTGTTTTGGAAAGGTGGCAAGCATGTTGTTGGAGCTGTCACTCCCCCTCCTCCATCTAGGGTAGGCATCTTTAAGCAGTGATAACATTTTTACCTATTGTGTATAAATGTGCCTTTGGAATCTCTCTAAAGACCATCACTATTCAAAGGTTGGAGTTTGCCATGGGGACAGAATATATTATATTTATGATTCTTTTTTAGGGAGATATTTGATATATCACAGAATGTTCCATTCCCTGGGTTTGCGTATACATCGTCCTTTTTTTTTTTTCTTTTTTCTGAGATGGAGTCTTGCTCTACAGTGCAATGGTGTGATCTGGGCTCACTGCCACCTCCGCCACCCAGGTTCAAGCGATTCTCCTGCCTCAGCCTGCTGAGTAGCTGGGATTACAGGCGCCCGCCACCATGCCCAGCTAATTTTTATATTTTTAGTAGGGACGGGGTATCACCATGTTGGTCAGGCTGGTCTCAAACTCCTGACCTCGTGATCCGCCCGCCTCAGCCTCCCAAAGTGCTGGGATTACAGGTGTGAGCCATCAAGCCTGGCCCCTACGTTGTCCTTTAATATTCACATCCATATCTGTTATTTCAGAGACCTCAGGAAGCTGATCAGAAATGAGGCTACCTTTGATGATGAGCTTAGGACAAAGATGGCAGCTTTAGGAACTTGCATTTACTGAAAATCTGATGAGGCAAGCATTGCATTACTGCACTTTACAGAAATCCTTGTTAATCTTTTCAACAAGCAGCTCAACTTGCAACAATCATTCCCATTTTACAGATGGGGAAAAAAACCCCTGAGGTTTAAAGTCACTTGTATCACACTTCTTTCAGGTATTTTTTGTTGCACAGGCTGTTAAATTTGGAATATGCATTTAATCCAATAATGATTTGATACATTTAACACAAGCAATATTGCACTATTCTCTCTCTTTACATATGTGTTTTTCATCTGAATATTTGACAAAGATTTGGCTATCATGTTTATATAGTCAAAACAACTAACCAAATAGCCCTGATCCTAAGATGAAGAAGAGTGCAGCCATTGGTAAATAACAGCCCCTACATTTAAATTGTATTCGGTAGTAGGTTGCTGCTTGAACCGGTCCACAAGCATACCATTTGTCTGGTAAGGCAGCACCCCACATTTCTTTTGGGGACCTATCCTTTACTTATTCTCTGCTCAGGCGGTTTGGGTTGGGATTAGCTTTCTCTATCTCCTACCCATTGAACTTTCGGAATGAGTCCTAATTAGGAGAAGCCAGTCAGTGCATCTTATTCCAGTGATATAATGATAAGTCCATGCCCCATGTTTGACAGTTAGGCGAAGGAAGTTCTGTTTCCCTGTGGTGTGGACCTGGAAGCATTTAGCAGGGGGAGCTAGAGGAGTCATCTTATGACCACAGGAGGAGTAAGGCAGGAGAAGCCCCTGCATCCGAGAACAAAGGCAATATCCTAAGAGAATTAATTATACTTGAATCTCAGAAAAGAAATGATTCTTAGTGGTTGTACTGGAGCCACTTCATCACGCCACTCCTGAAGCTAGCCCCACCTGTGAACTTTTCAGCTAATGAAGGCAATAATTTTCCTTATTTGCTTAACCCACATTGGATAGATTTCTTAACCACTCACACAGAGAGTCCAAGTCGAACTACCTTCAGTAACAAAAATAATAGGTGTTTACAACTCACATAAATAGTCCTACCAGTATGACGGCTTCAAAAACAGCTGGTTATACCCACCAATAATTAAGAAATACCACAGGAAGCAAAGAACAGAAACGCAATGGAGGATGTCTAATTTTCTTCTAAAGTCCTAAGTTTACATAGTAAATTTCAATAGCTCAATGCTAGCTCTCTCATAAACTTTAAAGTATTTTGAAGTGCAGTTAGCTGTCTGCTCACGGGAACATTTTTCACCGGCTGTTCCTTTAACTTCTGAGTGGCTTCTGAGCTACTACTTTAAGGAGTACCGGTTTTGTTGGGTGGTTTGTTAAGACCCTCCACTTCAATTCATGGTGATGAGTGGGAAGTTAGTGTGCTCCTGTGACAGCTCTATGCCTCATGTTTTGGTTTCAATTCCAGCTCCCCCAGGATCGAAGGTCACAGAGTTCTCTGATTGCTGAGTGCAAGTGGAATTGACATGGTACCCAGTTTCAGTTCTGGCTGGGTCAGTCGGCACTGCTCTGTGAAGGTGCTTGAGATGCCATCTGCCCTGGTTCTGCCTGGTTCAAGAATTCTGGTAATTTTGCTCCTGGCTGGTTTCGTTGGCACCTCTCAGTATAGATGCTTGAAATCCCATCTATTCTCAAGCTGAAGCTGGAAAACTTGAGCCTAATGGAAGTGGCTTGCTGCTTGTCATCACTGACAAGCTGGATTGGATGCACTACTGGCCTTAATTTCTGCAGCTGGACCATAGGAAACCAGTAAATTGGTCACCTTTAAAATCTTTCCCGAGTGTCTCTGAACAGGTTAACCACTAGCCTGAACAGCACAGGTCTAATTTCTTGTATGACACTTCTACTTTTGTCATAAAATATTGTACTTATTTTTGAAAGCACACAATTACTCACATAAAAATTATGTGGATTCTCCTCCAATATTGAAGAGATTATGGTAAATATCATATTATTTTTCCCATATAATGTCATTTACCGACATAATTCCTAGATGTTAATTTAACAACATCTATATTGTTAACGATTGTTAACAACAATTGTTGTTATATTGACTATATTGTTAACAACAATATAATCATATGCATATTTTATAATTTACTTGTCTTCTATTTAGGCCTCTTGGTTATTTGCAGTTTTCAAAATGTTTACAATTTTAAATAACATTGCAATGAACAACTTTATTCACGAAGGCTTATATATATTTTGGCTATTTTTAAATTTTTTTGGTTTGTTTTTGACTGATAGATCCCAAGATGTAGAATTACTAGGATAAAGGTATGAATGTTTTCAGGCTTTTTACTCATATTTCAATATTTTTATCCAAGAGGATGTTACTAACTTTTATACCAGTCCTACGAGAATGTTTGGCTTTTGATCTCAGACAGGGCTGGTCTCTAAAGGACAGCTCCTGACATTGCCCAGTGAAGCAAATTGGGAGACTTGGTGAATCTACGATGGTGGCATAACAAGGAAATAAAGTCCTCATAGCATTCATTCTTCTCAACCTGCAGATTGCTGTGGGGACATGCTACAGGACTGCCTCAAGCACTCACTATAGCAGCAGTATGCTGCTTGGCTGTCCTGATACCCACTCTCTCTTCTTCTGGTACCTATGCTCTAATTCCCTTGGGCATCACCCCTTCCTCACCCTCAGTACAGGTACAGTTCAGGTGGGTGGGGCTGATCCCACTCCTGATCTAGGGATGGTCCGTCGTTCAGGTCTGGCCAATCAGGGCTTTCCATTCCTATCATCATGTGATGAAGACATAACCTAAGTGAGTCCACCCTGAGATTGAAATTCAATTCCAGGACATTGTTCTTGAGTTCTTTCAGAATGCTTAAGGAAAAGAAGTTCTCCTTCTGTTAAACTTGGAGGTGGTTAGGGCATCCATCTGGAGCTAGCAGTGGCCACCTGTAACCACACAAAGAAAGTCAACCTGAGAATGAAGGTAACACAGTCTAAGAGGTAGAGATGGAGTTTGCTGTTGTTTTTTTTTAACATCATATGAGCCCCCTAGTTGTCATCCCTGAAGCCAGAATTTACTCCTTAGATTTTGCGAATTCTATGAGCTAATACATTTTGGCTTTCCTCAAGACACTTGATTCAGATGATCTGTAGTAGGAATAATGCAGTCTTGACTAATATTGCAACTATTGCAACGACACTATGATCAATTATCTGATTAGCAAGAAAGCATAGGAGCTATTACATCATACAATAGTATCAAAATAGGTTCTTCAAAACAGTATTCTTATCATTTTATGAATACATCATTTTCTCTTTTAACAGTTTCCCTTAAACAGAAACTTTTTTTGTACGCCCAGGGAAAGTTATTATAATTATTTATTAAAAAATATATTTATTTATTTTGAGATAGGGTCTCACTCTGTCAGTCAGGCTGGAGTGCAGTGATGTGATCATGGTTCACTGCAGCCTCGATTTTCCTGGCTCAAACAATCCATTCACTTCAGCCTCCTGAGTAGCTGGGACTATAATCACACGCCACCATACTCAGCTAATTTTTGTATTTTTTGTAGAGACGGGGTCTCCCTATGTTGCCCAGGCTGGTCCTGAACTCATCAGCTCAAGCAATTTGCCCACCTTGGCCTCCCAAAGTGCTGGGATTATAAGCATGAGCCACTGTGCCTGGTTTAATTCTTTCTTTAATTAGTTTATGCATCTATTTAATTGGCAGTTAATGAACTTCTTGGGTAAATGTTGTGTTGGGTACTGGAGATACAGTGATGGAAAAACAAAAGTGTCCTTCTCCAAGGAGGTCAAAGTTCAGCACTGAGGACAGTCCTATTCACATATTACTGCAGGAAAATAAATCAAAGCTCAGCAGAGGTATGTACAAATTCTTATGGTAGCACAAGGGAAGGACACATTGGCATAACTCTCGTAGTTCAACAAATTTTATAAATAATTTTAGAAAATGAACCATTTTCCATCTCCTGAAGTAAATAAAACTTTGCACCTATAACGAAAAAATAGATTGATTAACCTAGTAGAGAATCAATTAGACTGTTATGTAGATAAATTGCAAAGTTTGCGATGAGGTTTCAAACGTCTAAATTGTCTGGCAAACTTAAGGCTGACCTTCAAAATATTTTTATTACTGAAGTAATATCCAATTATTGTAAGCAACATAAAAATAACAGTCATTTCAAAGAACTCTCCTGCACCCTTGCCCAGTTCCACCTCTGAGAGGCAAATATTGATAGCTATCTCCTTTTTACTACACAAGTAGACACACACACAGGTACATTTAAA